GTCGATCTTCGTCTCTTGAAAGAACACACATTGGGTGATGCCTCCGAGGGTGGGGGCAGCGACAAGCTTAGCCGCTCGTAGTGGCATCATCGTTGGACAACAGTTCGTCGTGGCTACGGTACACGGACGTGCAAGCACCGATCGAGTCAGCCGCCGATACCCAGCGCGAGGTCCAGCCACGTGGCATTTCCCTGTAGCATTCCAGCTCCCGACCTCACAGTTCTGAACACAAGATGGATCGAACTGTTTGAGAATGCATGGCCCACCGTTGATCGCTGGAGTGAGCTGGTGGACCAGGGTGCTCACCGATGCGTCGAACAGGATCTGGTTGGACGCATCCATGTCCAGGGTGCAATCGGAGTCGATCGTTTTCAGCCCATCCATATCACGCACCCAGTCGAGGAGGAGCGCAGATTAAGCGTGCATGAAACGAGGAATCGGTCACCTCCACGTGCAGGGAGTGAGAAGACAGGTAATGATGCAACAACGCAGAGGGCAGAATCGCTCGCGTAGTACATGGGTGCCACGGAGGCGAGAACGATTTCCCCAAGGGCCAACACACTTCCGCATCCAGCGCCAGTACCATACATACTGGCGCTGGATGCGGAAGTGTATATTTATCGCCGCCATCGTGAAGAGCGACGTGATCTGTTACATTGGCCGTGCTGAGTAGCGTGGCAAAGTCGTCGTCAAGAGCGGGCATTGAGAATTTGTGACCGAAAACGTTCGCGTAGAATTTGTAGAACGGGGTCGAAAATCCCCACGTCTCACGAAGCCAACGGCTCACCAGGTGGAGGCGAATCAGTTGGACGAGTCGGATGGGGTCGGAGGTCGCAAGAGAGAGTAGTTGGCGACCAAACTCGATGGGGTGGGCCTCAAGATCACGTTGAATCCAGTCGGCCTCACCATTTTGGATGTACGCGGTTAGGTCCAAGTTGGTGGAGCCACGGGCAACGGCACAGTGAGAGTAGAAGGAGGCCTGCGCCATCTGGGACGAGCGATCCATCATTGCTAATTCCTGCAGGATGGCGTCAAGCGGCACTTCAATGCGAACGGCCGTGCCCTTCACAATTTTGGTGCCTCCGACGAAGCTTGAAGGTGGGGTTGACGTGGGGGCAGCTGAGCACTCGGGGATTTGGGGAGACCGTAACGTCCTTGCCATTGGAGGCTCAATTGGACAGGGGTCACCACGACATGCTGGCGTAATACGTCAAACACGTTCGTGGAGACCCAGGGACGCTCGGGAGTGCTAGGTGAGGAGGGAGCTCCGTGGGTAACACGAGTCCATGCCACGGGTGGGGGAGTTACAACACACTGACGCTTGGGGGAACCGGCCGTACGGGGTGAGGGGGACACGCCTGGGGGTGGCGAAGTCGGTGGACGAACGATCTTTCACTCACGGGCCGCAATATCCATGTCCGTAGGCTGAAGGGGCTGCTTGTGGTTGTACCAACTCTTTCCGTAAACACGGTGGCAACTACCCAGCAGAATAATCTCGTCGATAAGTCGACCGTTAGATCTAAACAGAGACGGCGCATCGGCCGTGGCCAACGTCAAGCGGTAGCGGGACGGTTTTGCACCCTGCACCGCCGAAACCTGCGTGTACACGCCCACGATAGGTGGGGCACGCAGCGAGGATACACCAGAGGTGCCGTTCGGCCGCGCGATCGTGGGCAAAGTCAAATATGTCGATGTGGAACCCATCCATTGCGTGGGAGGACTCCACAAGGAAAGTTTGCTGTCCGTCTTTGACAGGTAGCTTAAATGAGACGCCGGTCAGAGTGTCGATTGCACGAAACAACGTAAGGCCCAGAACCAGTTGCTGGTTGGCCAGGTCTTTTCGGAGTTGGATGAGCTGAGCCATTGAGGAGCGGACATTGGCCTGGTGGTTGTCAAAGAGCACGGCCTTCAGGGCCTTGCCCTCATGGATCTGCGCGGTGAACGCGCCAGTCGGGATACGGACATATCCGACGATGTCGCGGTTCGAGTCACGGCGAAGAGGCTCAAAGGCATCGAACAGTTCACCGCCACTGGCGGTCCCGGTGGCCAGAAGATCCAAGACTGGTTGCAACTCAGCCATCGTGGGTCGGTGGCATCCGATGTCGACCTTCGACCGGATCGCGTCGGCTTGGCGCCGTTGGTCGCTCTGGAAGGACCACACGTTATCGCCATCGTGGGCGGGAACATCAGGGACGCCAGGAGCGGAGGGAGCGCGTGGCGGAGAGGGCTCGGTCAGACGAGCAGCGTCCGCACGGGCACGCGCCGAAGCAAACGCGGATAGACTAGGACGTGCAGTGGCGGAGCTGAGATGATATCTCTTAACAGTCTCCGACAGATCCAACCGCCAACAGGATTTTATATCGGATGACAAAGTCATAGATTTCAGCAATACAAAACACACTGCAACATTTTATACAAACAAGTGGAGTAGTATTCAAAATGTATTAACGTGCAGAGGTCTATCTATTTAAACTATCACATGTATCTTCCGTGTCACCGTCGGTGTCGCTCTCAGCAGATGACTCTTCGTCCACATTCATTGCATCCACTTGCACAAGATGCTCATGCAGCAACTTCAACTTTTCTTGGACAACTTTGACGCATCCCTTCAGAGCATCTGGTGTCAAAGCAGCAAATGCCGCGTCAATCCTCTTCTTGACGTCGGCGAACTTGGTTTCATTGTCATAACGACGGCCAACTTCACCTTCGACAATGGCCCAAACCAACTCAATGGGCTGCGAATCAGAGTGGTGCGGCGGAGTAAACACAACAGTATGGCCACGCTTCTTTGCCATGTCAACAACGACCGGATCAATGTGCTTGTGAATATACTGCGACAGCTCCTCCCACAGGATGCTCTTGTAGTCAGACTCGTCGAATTCGATGCCAAATCGCACACATTCGTCCTGCAAACGCTTCTTTCGCATTCTGCTTGAAGGAATGTCTGCAGGGCGACCTTTGTGATATTTTGCATTATCCATGACAATCAGTGCGTTGGTCACTTGGAGCTGGTCCATCTCCGAGAGCAATTTGCCAAACCAATCGACAGAGCAATCGTGGTTAAACATACCATGGTAGTCCTTGGGCTCCTTGCCTCTTGCTTTGCCGCCAGTGAAGATGTCGAGGCCCAGAAGCTTGCTGTCCATGTTGCGAGTCCAAGATTCCCGCAATAAAGCAATAGCGCTTACCCTTGTGCTTCTCCTTTGTGGCATTGTCAGGGCGTCGTTTGGGCCGTATAGGCTGTCATTATGGCACTTGGAGGGTGGTGAATGAATGATTCGTCCATGTACACAACCGGTGGCGGCATCGTCGACACAGCATGCGACTGCATGCGCCGTACGTACTCGTCACGGAGTAGGGCGTTCTTTGTGGACAAGTGATATGACCTACAACCCTTCTTCTTGCCACGCTAGTAGTCAAGGCGCTACAGAAAGCGCTGTAGTGCACGGAGAGCGGACGCCTCGTGAGTTTTGTTGACTATGTCGAAATCCAAGACAAACATTTCGCGCAAGTACGCCATCACGTCGACAGCAGTGGTACGGGTGTGGGTGGCACGTCTGTCGCGTACGAACTTCTGTACGATTGGAATTGTGTCGTTATTGAGAGGCACCCTGGTCGTGTGGTTACTGCGATTCGCTGCAGGAGTCGCAGCAGTCACTGTTCCGAGTGTGTTGTATTCACGAAAAATAGCCTTGACCACATCATGGCTGCGGCCGAGAGCTGTGGCGACTCTTTGGGACACCTCAGTGGAGCCTTCTCCAACAAAATATGCGTGAAGGCGAAGAATGTCAAGTCGCTCTTCCCGAGTGAGTGTTCGATGACGAGCTTTCTTGACGAAGTCGATGCATGCTTGAGCAGACAGGCCCATGGTGCTTGGTTAATGATACGGTGGTTTCAATATCGCTGGCGAATTATATCTTTCTCAGTGTATTTCACACAGGATGATCCTGCCGCCAGTGCAGCAGCTCATCGCGTATCGTCAAAAGACGACCAACAACAAGTGCAGCGACGTTCGGTGCGACGACGTGTGGCTGACGCGCACCGACCTTTTCGGCGTCGAGTCGGCGCGCGAAAGCTTCTCGGGCACAACGGTCGATGATCCTCTCGACGAGTGGAAGACGTGCATGGGCGCGCCCATCACCAACAATGAATGGACGAAGTTGACCACGTCCGTCTTCACCGCGTCGTCGGACATCCTCCACGTGTATACATGCGCACGGTCGTGCAAGTACGACCTCGCGCTCAAGGAAGTCTACACGGCGTTTGATTGTGAAGTCGACTACAGCATATTCCGTCCCAAATCCATTTGCGACGGCGAGGCGCGTTTGACCAGCAAGTGACGGCCCGGTCCACCGACTTGGTGTCGTCGTTCAGCTCAAGGCGGCGCCGACCAAGGTCCCGATCCAAGGCCCGCAGCTGTGTTCCCGGGCTGCAACTACCGCCACCGACCGACAGGGTCAAGAAGGAACTGCACTTCGACGTGTCGTGCGATAGCACCGCCCCCGACTTTGCCACGTTTTGCACAAGCCAGCTCCAAGTCAAAATGAGCGACCTGTTCGCGCTCGAGGCGACGCTGAACCCAAACCCGGCCGTGACCGCGCTTCTAACTGGCCGGACGACGTCCGCGGCCTCGATCGTGTTCTGGCGCGTCAGAATGAGTTTTGATGGTGAGCTTTCTTGACGAAGTCGATGCATGCTTGAGCAGACAGGTCCATGGTACTTGGTTAATGATTTCAATATCGCTGGCTAATTGTATCTTTCTCAGTGTATTAATTCAAAGAGATGCTCCAGTATGACGAACGAGAGAACCTCTGTAAATTTATATCCAAATCGTGAACTTGTCTATAATAGTTAAGGGGTTATAATGGATTAAGATTCATTTTGGTACATTCTCAATCCGATGCTTAAAGATTACTCAAAGGATATTGTGTTCTACAGGGACCATGTTATACAGAGTGGATAGTCTTAAAATTTCCTATCGAACATACAAATCAACATATTAGACAGATTTCAAATGATCTACTGATTTCCACCCGACTTTTAAACGGGCCAAAGTGAATAAAACTTGAGAATCGATAATATCGAATGTCGAGATGAAATTGAAATTTCAAACGGTTCAATGTTGTCATAATTTGTACCTGCATATTTTTGGTTCCTTTGAAACTTGTTTCAAGTCGACCGTTTAAAAGTCGGGGGGAAATCAGTATTTATTGAACATTGGCGGTTCGATGCTGTCGGGGATTGTAAAAACAAATAGCTGCAAAATATCCTAAACTGCAGCTTCCCTAGTAGTCTAGTTGTCAAAGGGTGCCATTATCTTGAATATCAAGCTAAACTGATGTTGCCGAAGCTCAACCCATCCAGAGGACAATGCAGTGGAGTGCATGGTCACCAGAAGCAGTGGAGTGAAGTGGACTCGTTGTCCACAGTAGCGGCTAATGGACGTCGAATGTCGATTCCAGGTCGAGGCAGCGGGGGTGCTTGGCGCGAAGATCGTCGAAGGGTCGTTGGCGAAGAAGCAGGTGCAGTGCAGCACGCATGTCGCTGCCGTGCGAGTCAGAGTCGCCCAGATGACGCAGACGGCGACGCGTTGTAGACATCCACATGACAAAGGACAATTCCAGGAGGACGTGTGGAGGTGGAAATTTGCGATGTTGGTGCAGCGCAAGGTTATGGTGAGTCCATATCAG